CATTGTGCTCTTTAGTTGCTGTTGGAGCGCGCATGATCGTGGAAATGGCCACCTGTTTGTTGAGGCCCTGCAGGGAAGTTGAAAACCAATCAGCTTCCAGGTATATGGGGCTTAAGCCGGAGTCTGTGAGTGGAGCAACCCATTTGAGGTCGGAGGTTTGCGGTGAGAAGGGGTTGATCTCACACTGGGGCTTCTCCACCGAGCCTCTGGGAGGGTTCAGAGAGCGGTGGCAGAGCGTGGCTGCTGGGTCTGAGGAAAGACATTTTGGAGGGAAACGTGTATGTTTTGTCATTGTACTTCTAAATCAGAGAGGCTCACTCTGCTTATTTGTAAAATAAATGGAATTTGACAAAAGAATGGTAGCTTGATCTAAAAAGGGACATGAACAAAATCTAAAAATTATTCATTAATCCGAGAGACGATGATGATTGAGAAACATTTCAGGTCTGTTTAAAGGATTTAGAGATATTTTAATTAAAATATATCATATAAATAATAATAATTTATTTATTATTATTATGCAGTCGCTATCAGGAAAACTCGAGTTAAAGACTAGAACAAAAATACAATAAATTAAGCAACACTGAACTCATATATACAGTGTATATACTCTATTATGAAACAAAGCAACTTTAAAGAGAAAGTATATAAGTACTGAAACTGTAAAAGAAACTAAATGGATAGTCTGGATCCTGAGATCTGATTCACCGCATCTGAAAAAGTGCAATGATGTATAATAATAATAATAATTATATGGACCAATAGCTCTTATATGTAGCTGGAGGCTTATAATGGACCTTAAACTAAGACTGCTGACTTACAGAAAACGGTATAGGCCGTTAGTTATTTTGAACTAACCGGTGATAGAGTAGACTCTGTCGGGGTTGATGTCAGATGGAGCCTGTTGGGACTTGGCTGTGTGGCTGTGTGCGTCTGTCCTGATGTGAAGCAGGGACTTTTCCTGGCTTGTAGCTCCAGTTAAACCTCCTCCTCGACCAGTTTTCCCCTGAATAAACCAGCACTCCAACACTGGACAGCTGCTGCTGCTGCTGCAGGCTTTAGGCAATAGATTTAGGAAGGAATTAACCATATGCATATATATTTTCTAAAACAGTGTAACATAGGAGAATAATAGCACTGTTTTCTCAATTGTAAACCCTAGCTGTTTGTTTGGCTACAGTCCAACATTCCCCTAATTTTAACAATTTAATAATTGTGTTTTCTTGAGACACTTTTTATTATTTTACTCAAAAATGTATATTGTAGTAGTAGTAGTAGTTATATTAATTTAAAATGTTATGTCAAGCATTGAGGGATAATAGAAATCAAACCCTAACAGACCAAATAAAAGTAAAAGTTGGACTTTCCTCTTCCTCTTCCTGTTGATCGACTGATGTGTCTTGCTTTCATATTCATCCTTTTTTCTTGCTTTGCATGTCAATGTTTGAACTTTAAACAACAATTATCTTTGTATTGTTATTCTTTTCTATACATTGTTGCTCTAAAAACACTTTGTGTAACAGTTTCGGCCATGCACACCAAACTCCCTTTAGAAATATAGCCATATTTAACATAATATTATGTTAAAGTAAAAACAATTAAGGACAAATAGGACATTTTACACAGTATATTACGCAAATATATGTTTAGCTAAATTCGGCATATAGGTTTTACAATAATTGCACATTACATTATGCTGAAAGTGTAAGTTAAAGTCGTTTTCACAATGGGATCATAATCAAACTATTATAGTAACGTAAGACAGCTGTGTTGGTATTTTTAGATTTTCCTGAAATGATTGTTGACTCTTAAATATATAGAGTGCCATAATTAATACTTTAGAAGTCTTCTTTAGTTAGCAATGCATATTACTGTGCCCAACTGTTCCACTGAGTTAGGGTTACTTTATTTACACAGGTAAACACACATCAGGGCCAGGTAGATATACTGCATATTCATAAACAATTCTTTTTGGTGTATTGGCCAAAAACAGAGCAACAAAATATCGACTAGTACTATGAGTAAATATCGACGGATACAGTAACCGTACCTTTTATGAAGCAGATAAAAGTCACCAGGGCCAGTTTGTAGATTGTAGACAACTCAGTCATGATTGTAAGTCTTTTAGGTTCTCTAAGGTCCTCTTTGCTGCTATCGCACTAACGAAAAATAGTTGATAATGTGGGTTTTCCCCTCAACTCCGGGTTCATTTTGGTTTCACTTTAAGGTGCACCGTTCCCTGAAGCTAGCGGGAAAAAACAGACATATTCCGCCGATCTTTTCAAAATAAAGCAGCATTTATCAAGGTTTAGCGAGCTACACAAGTTACATCTGAAAATAAAATGACTTGAAACTTAATGACAAGCCATTTCCAGACGTTGGAGGCAAACACTCTCGGAAATATGATAGCCAACAAAGAGGAAGTTCTCCATCTCTACAGGTAGATGGTGCTACACCATAATCTACCATGACGTCTGAACCTTTTCCTCCACTTTTATGTGACTCAGAGGTTTCTCAATACTCAAATTTCCCCTCCTCGACTCCTCGACTCCTCGGTCCTCCGGTAGTGACCCGGAAATTAATTTCAGCGCGCCATTTTGAAGGACATCTAATTTCTCTAAATGCACTTCGAGGACCGAGCATCGAGCATCGAGGAGGAGCTCTAACCGAGGAGACACTGATGGGTCCTCCACGGCTCCTCCACGGATGCATTTCCGGGAACGGTGAAGGCGTGACGCACGGCCGGACTTATCTCAGCCTACAGCTGTGTCCCAATTCAGCGGCCGCATCCTCCTGAGGATGCATTCGGAGACCGCATACGTCACTTCCGCCAAACGAAGGCTGTCCCAATAAAAAAAAAAGACAAGACTCCTCCGAATGCGGCCCGCAAATGCAGCCTTCTTTCCCCAGNGTATAACAGGCCTACATTACTTTCTGTATTTGTATGCTGTAGTTTAGTAGATATCTACAAACAAAGAGTCGATATTTTTCTAAGACCATTTAGTGCTTCACATAATAAAATACACAACGGCTGTAGCCTGATTATAGTAGGAGCAGTAGGTGTGTGTGGTACAGTGTGTAGGTGTGTGTTGTACAGTGCGTAGATGCGGCGGACAGACGGGTCTCAGTTGGTTTGGTGTCCTATGCTTACTTTTAATACTTGTACAACTTTTGGCCCGTAATTTCAATTCCCCATTTCAGCGACCAGAGAGAGGGGAGGGGGGGATATATCCAGTCTCTGATTGTGTTACGTTATTATGAGAGTGCTCTCATACTTGTTTGATTCTGAAATTGTATATATTTATATTTTATATGTGTGTGTGTGTATATGTCCGCATCTGTAGCCTGTTATTGTCTCATTATACCGCACTGTCAATTAATTAAAAGTAGGCTAAATATATATAAGTCGTCATGAACACATCTGTCCATCAGAGTGCCTGCTGTGCCTTCTATCATC